ATAGTTCTGTGACTGCAATATTTTCCTAAACACAAATTTCAAAGCTGCAGTAAGTTTGGACTTCTTCTTCACTTCCACCCACTAAAGAATTTTCAATGAGAAATGGGCTTCAGAGAAACTAGTTTCTCAGACAGTGCTCACAGTCATTAGTTGTTCCCTCTTGTGATGAATGACATTTAAGAACTGTGCCAGCCAGCAGGAGCCACAGACCTAAGGTATTATTAGGAGAGCTAAGAGGGGCGACCGCATTTATGGAAACAGCTTGTTACATGTGGAACATATCGGCTGCTTATTCTTCATTTTAAGGGACAGCACAGGTCAATTTTTACAATTTCATGATTAGATATTGAGTCCAAAGAGCATTTCAGGACTTCTTAGTCGTTTACTGCTGCTATATCTTAGGTCTATCATATCTGTCAACAACTCCTTAATGTTCAATTAATGAATAAGGATAAAAAAAAAGAAAGACAGCATAAAGCCTCCTGGACTCTAAATGATTTAAACGTGTTTTGAAAATCTCTGGTCAAAAGCTGGTTGTAGAGTGTGTGTTCAATATTTTTCCATCTGGTTTGATTTTATCTTATAAAGGAATAAGATGAATTCACTCTTTTCCATATTAGATCATAACAGCTCTTAAAAAATCGAGCTTATACGGAAGAGCGCCATGTTGGAGAGTTATACAAGGGAAACTTTGAAAGGTGTAAAAACCTGAGAGCCTTAAGAAGAGCTGAAACAGTATGCCAAGATCACTGATTTCCAAATATTTTAAATGAAAAGGCACTGTTTGATTATATGATTTATGTTTGCAGTGGCAGGTTTTCACAAAGAGCAAGTGACCACATGAAGTGTACTTGAGCAGGTCTGTTCCATGATAGATCCATCTCTTACTAAATTATTTGTTCCAGATGTCAGAGGTCATCCTCAAAGATATTTATGGAGTCTTTTAGCATTGTCAAAAATAAATGAATAACAGCATGGTGAACTTAACTTTTTTAAAGATTTTTCTTAACTTTTTCTAATTCTAAATTTGGATAAAATTCATAAACAGGAAAACGTTTAACTGCTTTTGGATCTTACTCAGAAATGAAAGATGTGTTGGAAGTGTTCATGTTTATGCATTTAGCAGACACTTTTACAAATTTGAGCAATTCAGAGGTGTAAAGTAATCACTGAACACACTAGTTTCTGTGTTTAGTGACAAAATAACTTATACTTCCATTTTAATGAGTCAGATGTAACTGTAGAAAAGAAGTTGTTAGCGGTCGTTTTTTGTTGAATTTGATCAAATAAATCAAAGTTGCATTCAGGAGTCGTTATTTATTCATACGATATCCCTTATGCATTATAGCCATTTCAGCTTGCTATTAAATTGATTAAAGTGTAATGTAGCCCCACAATTGGCATGGTGAATCACTAAGCAGAGTCTGGTGGTGCTGGGTTTCAAGCTATATTGTTCAGATCCATTTGTTGCATCAGTACATCAGACCTCAATTGGAATTCTGAAGCTCTGAATAGGCCAGTAAACCCACAGAGGGACAGTTGTGTAGCTCGGTCTGTAATACTATATGAAACACATTGTACTTGCACAGATGCTTTCAGTAACAAAGCTCCTCACCTAGCCCTAATAAAGTAATAAAACTGGTTTATAGACTGAAATCGATGCTTGCCCAGGCCATCAAAACACAAGACCTGTGATTAGTCAAACACAGGGGAAGAAAGTCAGCCTTTTGCTGATTCTGTTGAGTCATGCTCTAACAGTTCCTCTGCACATGTTTGTTGGACTCCTCACACATTTGAGGATATATTCTCCACCACCTGTGCCCAAATATTTCGCTCTCGGTCTCAGCACAACGCAGGATTCACTGTAACCCTTTGGGCTTGATGTTGGCATTGAATGCATCGAGGAATAGGATTTGTATGGTTACACCTTTTGCAACATATTTATCTGATTCGCTCTGTTTTTATCTGAGTCGAATCTACAATATTCAGTTAGTTATACCAGTACTGTCCAAATGAGTGATAATGACCACAATGTTTGCAGTTTTCAGTGAGAGTAGGGTCACTATTGTTTCAAATACAGAAATGATTATCAACAATTCTAATTCACACACAAGTGTATGTGTTATTATGTTGCGGTTTTTCACACGTCATTTCCCTCAGGAGATACGGTTGTGTCTCACAGTGTCTTTGCATGCTTTCCCTGACTAAACTATGGATTGCTGTATGGATAGATTTTTCATTTGCTATGGCATCTCATTTACGAAAGTACACACTCTTTGATGGCTCTTTTTGAAGGAAGTGTACTTTTTGTGAAAGTGGGAAAAGTCGAAAACACGTCTAACTTTTGGAGTTGAGATGTTGTCCAGTGTACATAAGTCTTTTCCGTAAACATCTTTAATCCTACTTGCTGTGGGACTAACTGACACTTGCAATTATTACAATTTATAGCAGCTAATGTAACTTTATCATAATTATGTTAAGCTTGCAGAAATAACTGAAAATAAAAATAAAATACTAAAAAGGGGAAAAAAATTAAATTGCTTCCTCCCGACCGACCATTAATTTTTCATTTTGCCTGCGGAATGTACATGATTGCAGAAAGTAACGCAATTTGGTGGCACTTAACTAGAGGATTAAAGCCATCAATATTATATGAACAAATTCTCTCCCCAGTTAATGATTTCCTTGGATACATACCCATATTAGGATAACAGACCAATGTGGAAGGGATTTGATATCTTCTTATTAGAGTGTAGTAGTACTCCAAATATACCAAACATCAGCTTTGATCCCATCCACAATAAACCTTTTGCTGTTTTGTCATCTTTAGAATCAAAGGCTAAGGGAATAAAAAAGCACTTATGTTACTTCTTGCTCCTCAGCTTTATTGATGCTGCATGTTTTGGAATGAGGACTGATTTTATGATAGGGAATGTTGGTATTGGAATTAACGTTGGTAATCATTTGCTCTCTATTAAACTATTGTCTTAAATAAACTGAGAGGAACTGTTCGTACACTCAAAAACAAATAATATAGATGCAGTAGTTATTTATACTTTGTGCTACCTTTTTGGGTATGTAAAAGGCAAAGTTTTAGGCAAACTTTGAAAGGCATAGGACCTTTGGGCATGCAGGAGGGGACAGGGAAGGATAAGCTGCCTGGGATGTAGAGAGGACTCATAACATTTAGTGCAGTGAAAGCCTTTAGGAGGCCTGTAATATGTTGCAACCTGCAGCAAGACTTACATTTTAAAAGCAAAAATTACAGCATTCATAAAAAAAAAAAAGCGCTGCTCATTTTTTTCAAATGACTTTATTTTATTTTTTTACACACTTGTTCTGTTTCAGTCAAACAGTAATTCTGAGAATATAGACTTGGAGCTAAGAGTCACACCATGGGCACTACTGCCTGGGGAGCTTCTGCCCCTGTGGTCTGCACTCTAAACCAAAAAATCTTAGTTCCCCAACAGTGATCCTGTGTGAGTTTATGAAAAATTAATTGTATAGAATTGATACTGATTAATACTAAATCAAGCTGCACAGCCAGCATATCCTGTTATTGACAGAATATATTGCCATAACCAATTTTGATTTAATGCAAAGCATAAAGGGGTAATTTTTTTTTAAACCTCTTGTTGTTCTTTTGGCAGAGGACAAAGTATTCCTCTGAGCTGTTCCAATGCCTTGCGCATGTCACATAGTATCCTTAAATCCTTTATTGGAGTTATACTGTGTAATGAACACAATTTCTCTCCACAAATATTGGTCCTATTTCCTGCTCTCTGAAGAGTGATATTGCCAACATTACTAAGGAGTGTAAACAAAGAATGTGGACCTATTTGTGTTTCCTCACCCATGTCGGCTCCTTTTCTTTGTGATGTTCCACTTCAACATTACAGATATATCACAAACATATCCCATGGCATTATTATTCCTTCAGTAAACTGGGACAGTTTGCGGTTTCTTCTCTTCCACACTTTCAGCTTGTGTACATGCTCGACGGAAACGATTAATTTGGCAGACTCTTGGTAAAGCCCTATTTATCAAGACATATGTGAATATTACAGTATTTTGTTTTTATTAAGAAAACCGATCTTCATACTCTGCAATATGCACGAACAAATTATGAATTGGCTGTGTTTGTCTGCTCGGGAAATTTGAGTAATGACGAGTGTGGAGTTGTTGGTAAGCTCTAATTTAGTCGCAGATTAAAGAAATACCTCACCTCTTCGTTGCTTGCTGCCTCAGGCAAATGCATCTCATCCCTAATTGAGGGTCTTTTCCGACTCACTGAGTCAATACAAACGGTTTTCATTCTCAGACCATTATTATTTCAAATCATTGTCAAAAAATCCGGATAAATCATTGACTTATGCCCCGTTAATGCTGGAAAATTGCTTCATGCATTTTGCGTCATTGACAGTTGGGGGCCTGAAAACAAGTAATGCTAATAACATAATCGGGCTGTGACCACTCTGTCGCTCCCACTCCCTCCTAGATCTTTCTGCTCCTGGCTTAGACAAACAGGCTCATCTGCACTGGATCATTTGCCGTCTCCTGATACACTGTGGTTTATAGCCAATTATCTCTCACGATCCATTATCGATTACAGTGTTATCTTACTTGCATTGCTTAATCTTTTGGCACAGTAACATGGGGGGTGGGGGGGGGCTTTGCGATGACAACACTGGTTAAGATGGATGCCTGTTAATTTATGTGTAAATGGTTGCAGTTTAAAGGCAAACTGATTCCAAGTGTATTTTGTATAAAAGTGAGGGGAAGGATCGAGTTTGAATTGCAGTGTCCTCTTATAATGAATAAAAGAGGTACAACAAATAGACAATTGTCCAATAAAGTGTTGCAACTTATTGTGTAATGGCCTTTTCCTTCATGGATCTCACACTGTATTGTTCATACTTTCATGGCTTACAGTTAACCAGCAGGGAAATAACTTAGACTTAAGCCTGCTTTTCTGATCTTTTTGACATTTGCCTCTTTTATTGTTTTCCCCTAGTTGGGTTAATAACTTTGGCCATGAGGGACTTGGCCTCCTCTTGGATGCTTTGGAAAAGCTGCTGGACAAGAAACAGTAAGTTAATTCATGCAACATCCTATTTCTGTGTTCTTTTGCATCAACAAGTCCTGTTTTTTTTTCTTAATTCCATTTTCTTTTTTTTTCCAGGCAAGAAAATATTGACAAAAGGAACCAACATAAACTAATCCAGTGCTTGAAGGCCTTCATGAACAATAAGGTTTGTATGTGTCAGCAGGTCCAATCATCGTGTTGCTCAGATCCTACTTAAACCGGCAGCATGCTTGCACAAAGCGGTATTACTCAGATGCTTAACAAAACAACCCCCAAGATTTTTCATCGCTAAGAATTTAATTTGAATAAATGCAGTTTACAAATGGATAAACAAAATATTTGGGCGAAATCTTTTTTCCCGCTATTTCATCAACACTTTGGAAATAATGTCTAATATTAGCTCAGCCTGCAAGGACTCCAGACCTGATTTGAATCTTGTTGCTGTCAAGCCAGTGATAATGAAACACAGAACCAAAGCTAATTTTACCATCTTAAGCCCACAGTCTCAATTTCTTTTAATTATCCTTTTTTGGGAAGGTCTGGCTTATTTCTTAAAAGTAGCACACATTTCAAGGATAGATAAACCATTGATATTTCCTCCTGTGGACTTAATCCCCTCACGTGGTCATCTCAGCCCATTCTCAGTCTTGGGGAGACAAGAAGGTACAGGAGTCTATAAGTACTTGTCCCTGTAGTCATGTCCTGAATTGAATTAATTCATCTTAGTCTCCATTTTCTTCCTTGGCCTCTTTGTCCCTCCTTAAAGGAGGATTAAGGCTAACTATAACTTGGGTACAATAGAGCCGTTTTTTTACACTTCTTTTATAACATGATGTGAAAATAAATGCAAATGTTCCCATTAATTCATACTCAATAGACATCTTTTCTGTCCTACCTCTTCTGTTTCATAGTATGGACTGCAAAGGATCTTGGGAGACGAGCGGAGCTTGCTGCTGTTGGCACGCGCAATCGACCCCAAACAGACAAACATGATGACGGAGATTGTCAAAATTCTCTCTGCTTTCTGTATTATTGGCGAGGACAACATGTGAGTTGAACTTAGTTTATCTAAACGTTTATCAGACTCAATGTCAGACACCATAGAGACATACATAGATAACCTATCAAAGACCTCCCACTCGTCACCTCAGGGTCTGTAATAAGATAATGAGATTGTCACCGTTTTAAGGGTCAGTTACTCGTATTGAGAGCATCACTTTTGTTTACTGGTTTGCACATTTTGAAGAAAAAAGATATTGCTTAGATTTTACATGGAGGACTCATAGTATGAAAACAACAATATAGGACACATAGACAGAGATCCTCCCCAAAAGTTTTTTGCTGGACAGAATTGTCCTGATACTGTCACACGGGGTTCACCCAGGAGTGGTCCTCCAATCCAACACAGGGAGCAGTATATTCCAGAATGTATAAATATTATACGGGAGTCTGTTGGGAAAATGGGGATGCACTTTCTTTGAGTACCTCTGAATGTTTTGGTAAACTGTACCTTGAAATGACCTGCCAAACCTCCACTCAGAGTTGTTGTGTGTTTTCTATTTCAGTATTTACAGTTGTGGAGGAACCTGTTTCCCTCTCTTCCTCAGTAATTCCCGAGAGAGCCCTATCATTTGAAAATCTTGATTTATGAAGAGAGAAAAAAATGTTGGTTCATATCTGGTTTGCTTACACAAACAAATGCTTCAAACACAGAAGGAGGGACTTTGTGGTATGAATGTTGCTTCAGTCCATATTTCCATGACTCCTACAAACACTGCACCAAATGCACATATATTTTTCCCCAATGTGAGTGTATACCGAATCTATTTCTGACCTCAGATGTTGTAGGAATCACATGGTGCAGTGCAGCTTAGTCTGTTTAATGTGCTCAAGTAGTCAGTGTAGTTTGCCACGGACATAGCCTGGCTGACAGCTTCTAAATTGGAGTTAAGGGAATGTTTTTTATTGTTTCCCACAGGGCCAGACTAGAATAACAATGCCACTTCAAAGTCAAGTCTCCATGCAGTCGAGGAAATAAACAAACCAACATATGCTGTTTTAGAAGCCGAGTTCAACAATTTGTCTTCTATTTCTGACCACCTACATGCCTGTATGGTTTAGTTCTGACCCTAACTGTGCAGGCTTTCTAATATAGTTTTGATGTTTTGAAGAAAATTTTCCGGTATTGAGTGTAATTAATCTACATCAAGTAGTTTTTCTGAGCGACACATTTTAGTCAGTCAGACCAACGTCCTTAATATGTATTCTCTATCCTTTAAACATTTTTTATTTTATTAACATCTTGACAGGCAAATAATACACAATACCATCCATTCTTTAGTAATTTACAGAGAGAAAGGTTCCTTTATCACAGCTTTAAGTTATTAATTTATTATTTCTAGAACATGATAGACATTTTTTGGTTTAGGTGAAACAAATCCACTTTTCAGTCCTGTGCTCTGTCTTTAGTATACCAGTGTGAAAAACACTGGTGCTGACAACAATGAGTGCATGGAAACTTGCCTTCATTGTTGTTATTAATTACTATGATGCTTTTCCTACTGTGGCTTGTCACAGCTTTACTGTGAAAAGGCATTATTTTTAGGTCGCCATGCTTGTAATTCACATTGTATATTGGGTAGCAGAACCTTATGATGCCTGTAAGGGTGGCACAAATTAAACAGAATTACAGTTTTCACAAAGTTCACACAAAGAGAACGTTTTATCAAACTGTCTTTTCCTGTGTATGAACTTCACACTTACATGGATACAGCATGTTTTGTCTGTACCATAGATCGTTGTCAGCTTTTAATAATGGAATCATGACTCTTGCTGGTCAATGTTGTTCGGCCATTATCTTGTTAATGCAGTGAATGAGAATTCAGACCTACACCTTGTTCAGCCACAGCCACAGTTGAACATCGCATAGTTGTTACTTGTTACTAACCCCAAAAAACAACCATTAGTACTATATTAAGCATATGCTGGGTGTATAGGTAGTTTTTTTTCTTTTTATCTCTCTCTCACTGTCACTCAAAAAATTCAGAACTTGATTGAAGTAAACATTGAGATCTCTGCCATGATCACAGTCTTACATGTCCGGATCCTCTGGAAATGACAGTGAAAGAAGCTGAGTTGTCACTATTTTGCTCAGAAAGTTCTCTGCCAACCAGTGTTGTGACTCTGACTCATGTTCAGCACCCACTGCGGCTGACAGCATCAAAAGAGAGCACGACAAGTTAAGCAGATCTATCCAGCCTGTTTTGTAGTCTCGTCTGAACTGTCTTTAAAGCTACTCACTATGCAGCTCCCCACATTTGTCTGTGACTTTTCACTGTCTGTCAAAGAGCGTGTTCCTCCCATGTGTCTCAGGCTCAGTCTGCACATGCTGGTCAGGTACATGAGCTTCACTCATTTGGACATCATAATGTTTTTGCATGTTCAATTAGTGCAGTCATGTAATTCACATAATCCACTGTTCACTGGTCAAAAAATGTTTATTTGCCCTACTGCCATGATTTTGGCAGTAGGGCCAATATCTTTATTCAGAGGCTAAATTTGTCCAGTAAGCACTCTTAATTTCTAACCTTCTCATTCAGTGTATTTGAACATCAGTGCAGCCAAAATGATTTGCACCTTAATTCAGTCAATAGGAACACTGCACACATTGGCAGTAATACCCCTTTTTTTTCAAGCATCTCATCTTAGTAACAGCAGCATGAAGTGAAAATGTGAAGCTGCTGGAAAAAAAACCTGGCTGCATAGAAGAAGATGGAAAACACAAGCATTTTTAGGATGACTGGCTGAGTAAATGTCCACACCAACACACAGGGGAAGATAAGATACACGGTGTTTGAGCTGAAAATTGTGAGTAAATGTCCTGTCAGTGAGGTGATAAAAGTGTTTGTTGACTTTTGTGTTTGTCTGCTCCCCATTCCCTGCTTTCTTCCAGCCTGGATAAGATTCTGGCTGCCATGACAATTGCTGCAGAGAGAAACAATAAAGAGAGGTTTTCCCCAATTGTGGAGGGACTGGAGAACCATGAGGCTCAGCAGCTCCAGGTGAGTAAATAAGCTTCCACGCTGTCAAAAATAGATGAACGAAACAGTTAACTTCTTATAATTTTATAGCACAGAGTGCTGAAGAATACGGTTCACCATTCTTATCAGGATGTCTTCAGCATTCATTCCTTCAGATCCAAACTTGAAATAGAAATCCACATGCGTTTTGTTTCACCTGAAATAGTGGACAGAAGCACTAAACACACAGAAGCACTAAAACCGTTTTACCATGATGACCACATTTGGTGTAATAAAGTCTGAAATTGGCAGTCGCCTTGTTCTCAGCTCTCAGCCGTCTTTATGCCGACTTGTCAACATCACAACCCCTCTTGCTCATGAGAAAATGTGATCATGGAGCTTTTAAAACACCCTCAATGTTTTGTTACTTCTGCTTTAATCAAAACCACCTGGGTCATTGAGCACCTCCACAGAATTGCTCCATTCTTTTTGTGAACATCACAGAAATGGAAAGAAAAAGAGAGATGTTGAGTTTTTTGGTGATTTTTTTATCTTCCCCCTTTCTTTCTCACATTTCCTCTTCCTCTCGCTGCTTTACTCATTTTTCTCACTTCCTACAAATACTTCCCCTTGCTTTTTTTCCTTGTTGCTGTCAAGTTGAGTCTCAGAGGACTCGATGTGAAAGGGCAACAAAGCACCATACCTCTCCTCATTTTCACTCGTGTTCCTCAGCAGCAGAAAAATGAAAGTATATAGCAGCAACAACAACACCACTTAAAACATGTTTTTGTAAAACCCAAAGCAGGGAATTACTGAAGGAATTAGTTTAGCTTCAGGGCTTGAGAAGTCATGAAGGAAAAGTCATGAACGAAACTGATGAGGCGGGTGGCGGAGGAGAAAGTAGATATTCTTTTATTGGGAGGCTGTTGTTTTTCCTTTAAATTTTGTCGTTAATGAAATGACGCTGTACTAATTGTGAAGTAAATTAAAATCCTTTGCTGATGCAGACGTTTCAAAGAAATTAATAGACTTTGAATCCAAATCCTGTGATGGTCTACACAACTAAACTTTGCTAATGTGATTAAAATGTGTTTTATCTTAGTTCAGGGTATAATTTACTGCAGAGCACGAGGGTAACTCTGAATTTCAAATTTAAAACTGTCCCAGCAGTGTCACTTTTAATTACAATTTTTGGAACTCCCCCTGTGGCAGCATTCCAAAGCTAAAACACACAAAACGCCAACCCCACCACCAGTATGCTTCTTGCTCTTGGTAGGCTTGAGATGCTTGATGTAAGTATTTATGTATATATGCAAGAGAAGGAATTTTTCATGAGCGGCGTGACCTTCACACATAGAAAGTCTGTGAGGAAGTCGTGAAGTTTCTTTTATGCGTCTGGTCTCTGGTGGATACAATATATTGTCCAGTTTGAATGCACAAATCTGACCATGAGGCCTTTTTCTTAAACAGCTGTTGTCTTTGTGAAAGTCGTCCTGATTCCTTTAACTATTCGCCGTAAACCATGCGATGCAAAGGTTGGGGAACCTGGAGTCAAAGCTGTTCATATTCTCAAAACACATCCATCCATCCATTTTGTGAACTGCTTATTCCCAAATGGGGTTGCAAGGGGACTGGAGCCTATTCCAGGATTCAATGGCCGAGAGGGAGGATACACCCTGGGCGGTCCGCCAGACCATCGCGGGACCACACATAGATGAACAACCAACAACGCACACTCACATTACCTCCTGAGGACAATTTGGAAGGTCCAGTTAATCTAAAATGCAGGTTTTTTTGGACGGCAGGAGGAAGCCAGATTAGCTGAAGAGAACCCACACAGGCACAAGAAGAATTTGCAAACTCCACACAGAAAGGTTCCGTCCCCTAGGAATCCATGAATCCAGAACCCTCTTGCTGTGAGGCAATGGTGGTAACCACCACACCATTGTCTTCTATATTTCTTTGTTTAATCAAACCACAGCCCTAGTTTGGATGTTCATTTGCGAATATCTGAAGCTGTGATGTACTTTTTATTAATGAATCTGACAACTAGCTCTTTTAACACCTTGTTTGTACCATAAGACAGAAAAACAAAACAAAAAACACACTCAAAACATCCTTTTTATTGCGGCACTTTTAACTTTCCAAATTCATACCGACCATCTCAGCCTGATACACATGTTAATTACATCCTTTGCTGGCTCGGCAGCGTATCATGAGCTTAAACCCACACTCCACCTCTGTAACTCACAGTTCACTCAGGACAACAATGCACAACAAAGGCTTGACAGTTTAGTTTAACACTGCCGTAAGTGTGCAGACTATCAGATAATGATAGTGTTTTTTGTTTTTTTTGAGGAAATGGCTACCTGAAACAAGCTGCAGGCTTTGTGATAGCTTTGGAGTGTACGGGAGTTGCTTAGAGGAGATCCTGGCTTTAGATTGATAAAATCTTCAATCATCCTTGAAATGTACATGCCCCAGTCTTAACAATAAGTCAAGTCTGAAACCTGGGTATAGCTTTGCACTTTTTGAAAATTTTCTGCTTGTTCTCTGTTCAAATTAACACAATTAACACATTTTGCTAGAGGTGTGCCAACTTTAGCTCTAAATCATTGCAGTAATGAAAGTCAAGTCACAAACTCCAAAAATGGATATTGAAACCCACCAGAATCAGCATTGTTTTGACCCTTATAAATAACACATAGCAGCCCACTCTAAAGGGTCAAGGTTTTAGAAGGCAGCATTTCATGTTGTCCATGGGAATCTTTCAGCCCGGTATTGATTGTCTGTCCAAGGAAAAGTGCTTTATCCATGGCCTGCTCCCCTGAAACACCTTACAGCTCATTATAATTCATCTGCGATTTCCCCTGAACCCCTCCTTTATCCCCCAACCCATCCAGTACATACACATTCTTTCTACAACCAATAAATCCATTAATAATGCACATCTAGTCAATAGCTAGACCAGACCTACATTTTCTGTCATGTTTTATCTGGTTTCTGTAACTTCTTTCCCTTATTGTTTAAACTTTGTCAGGGTTTGACAAAGAATGACTCCAGAACACACATCTTTGCTTAATTGAGTTGAAGATTTATGTAGTATTTAATTTTGATTTTGATGTTTTCATATTTGCTCTAAAATATCTCCTGTATGTAATTTTGCCCCTGTTTTTGACATACCTGTATCCCAGGTTGCCTGCATGCAGTTGATCAACGCCCTGGTCACCTCCCCCGATGACCTGGACTTCCGGATACATCTACGCAATGAGTTTCTAAGATGCGGCCTCAAGAAGATCCTTCCAGTGAGTGATTGGTAGACATTTGGTTAGGTTTATGTAGATGTAGATACAAAAAATGATGATGATGAAAATTTGTGTTCCCTCTCTCTTTGGCAGGATAATCAATGGCTTATTTTAAGGAATGAAATCCCAATGAATTTAAATGAAAAGGGAAATGTTACAAAGTTGGAATCTTTTAATAAATACAACTTGCTAACATTTTTTAAAAAGGTTTTAACTGTTTCTACAAAGACATTTCTTTCATTATCACAGATGCCAACAGCTTTCTCATGTATTTTGGACTTATGAGTGTGACACTCGTGTCTAATATGACTCAGTTAGACACCCTGACCGGGTTTGAAGTAATGGCTTTAGAACTGAAATACAGGTGTTCACAAAGAGGAAACTTATCCTGCTGCAATTAATTTAACTATTATTGGAATAAGGTAGTAGAGAATGTGTGGCAGAGTTAACACCTCTGCACACAGGCATCATTATCAACAACCTTACTGTACACATCTTCACAAGAGCTGAGGGCCAGCAAGCTCCAGCTCATCACTCAAACTCTCATTTGTCGCAAGTGGGGTGAACGTGTCACAGAGCCAGTTGTTAATAAGTCACCCCAGCTGCTCCCGCTGATTATTACAGTCATTACTTTAATTATCTTCAATTCTGCCTCCTGATCTGAAAGTGTCTCCATGTACAGTCTTTTATGAATCCCACATTTATCGAGTTTATTGCCGACATTCAGACTGGCACTCCTTCTCCTAATTATGAGTTATGGTGAGAAGTCACTAGCTGTTGGCAGTGAAATGGTAAACTTGTCTGGAAAAGAACGCAAAATATGTTTTGTTCCGATTGTCCTTGACACTTGTATTAGTCTCTCCTCCTTTTCTCCTACCCCATTTTGTGTGTCGTTGTGCACCTCCCTTTGAACCAGTGTTGCTTGCTGAAGACAGATGGTGAACCCAAAAAACAGCGCACAGTGATTGATACCTGCAGAAATTGGGTTACATTTGGCCCTGTCTCAGTCTGTAAACTCCACCGCCGTTGATTCATAGAGAAGTTGTAAAGAGCACCTCTGTAGCCTCTTGTGGCTGGTACAGGTGTGCAAGAATTGGTACTGTCTGAAATACTTACTGAGAAGTCCAGAGCTTTTCAGCCTCTTGTTTATCGGAGCATGTTTTGCTGTAGATATTTCGATTCTAGTTAGCAGTGATGTAAAAGTGACCTATTCAAAACCCTACAAGGCAGTCACAAATATTCACTGCCACTGTTTTAACTCATTCCAGGAGCTAAAAGAGACAGAGGAACTTGACATCCAGCTGAGGGTGTTCAATGAGAACAAGGAGGAGGACTCTATTGAACTCTCCCACCGCCTGGATGACATCCGCACTGAGATGGAATATCCTTTTGCTCTTCTTCTGTGTGAACATACAGATCTGTGACATCCGGGCCTGCATAACTGGCAGCGAGGGACAAGTGCATCTTGTGGATGTGGTCAAGCATTATAGGATAAATCCCCCTTATGGCTTTGTTCATTAGAGCAGGATTAGAGGATCCAAAGCACAATATCGAGCTCCATCTCTGGCTAGGTGTAGTTGGTTATAGCCCTGTCATTTTTACCTCCAACCTGCTAAGTCTTTTATTTACTCTTCTCCTCCCACTCATTTCCTCACCTTTTCAAACCACTTTCCTGTTTTTTGTCCTTTATTTTTGGGTTAAGCAGGAATTTACTTATAACCTGGAATATCAAATGAGCATGCTCTCTCTGCGTTCTTACACTTTTAGAGGCTTTGTAAACTTTTAAGTATTGCAACCTCTTGTCTCTCCATTTTTTGTTAGAAAAGTGGATTTTGACTGCCAGCTCTCCATGAAAATCCATTAATCTCCAAACATTCTGTGTAGGAGTTCATAAGAGGAGCAATAATTTAGTCCTGTGTTGAAAACTTCTTTAAGCATCCCAGAGAAAAACCCTTTAATAGTTCACAAATCTTCTCCAAGGCCACGTACTGTATGAATGCTCTGGCATTGTGAGCAGACAAACCAGACTCTGACATTGTTATGCAGATGTTCCTTCCCACAACCTTTTTCTTCCATCAAATCCCACGGTTTTTGTAAGAGCACAAAAGTGCTACGGTGAGTGACAGTTTCTGTTGACACATATAAGTCAAAGGGGGAGGTTGTGTGTGTATAGAAAAGATAAAGAACGAGGAAAAATGTGTACCTGGATTAATGATGTGCTTCAGCAGGTTCACAAATGAGAAGGCTTAATGTTTGTTTCCAAGGACAATGTTTTATTGATCTGAGAGGTATGGGCATGATTGGAATCCCTAGGTTACTCATTGTCGCTTGGTTTGCACAGCACACGTACAGACAAACAAACACACACACGCAGACCCATACAGACACACATGTATATGTATGGCATCACACAAGTAGAGCCTGCTACAGGAGCATTGCACATGTCTTGTTTTTCCCTGCACTTTCATGAATATTAACCTGAAGAAGCTCCTCTCCACAATGTCCGGCCCAGGATCCAGGTGCCGAGGAGGTGACTTCAGGCCTCTAATACATATTAATGAACTGTGGAATGGTGATTGATTGACCTCAGCTTCGACTGGCCTACATCACACTCGACTGCCACTCATGTTTATTCATTATTTGGAGAGAGAGCACAGAGAGAGAGACTCAAAAAGTGAGAAAAAGAAACGAGATGAGGGGTTGCCATTGAACAGATTGGCGTTTTACATCAGGTTTATGTCTGCAGTTTAGTGATAGATGAAGCTAGTTGGATACTTTCCCAGAGAGATTTCCTTCTCATGTCCTCTCAAATCCAGCTGTGGTGAGACTATAATTGAATCTCACAGGATTGGTAATTCTCCTGGGCTTCATATTCGGCTAATGCAAGGGAGGGAAATGATACTTTAGAGGAGCTTCAATTCCCAGTCCTGCTTCTCAAAAAATGCAATGTTGAACAAGAGTTTAATTACAAGCATGACTGAAATGACAGTTTGTAAAAGCATTGATCTTCTTCTGTTTTGGGTGTGACGATTCCAGCCGCCTATAACGAGTCATTTTCTCCTATCTGCTATATTTTCTGTCATAATCAGAGGGGAATCTCAACATATGGTGCCACCATGCTGCAAATGTCACTTGATGGTGTTGCAGTCAGTTCGTTACTCTGTGTAAATATTTTAACACAGGCTGTCAAGATCCCCACTTCATGTTAGGATTGCAGTCAGGTTTTCATCTCTGTGAGGATCACAGGGCACTCTCTTCAGTCTACCTTTTTTTGCATGTGTGCATGTATCTGAGAGGCTTATCAGCTTCTTCAGACATGATTAGATTAGACTCCATAGGGAAATTCTCCTTTCTCCTACAAACAAATTAGACTCGAGTCGTTCATTTTCCTCAGTTCCTTGCTTCTTGGAGCTAGTTTTAGAACACTATTAAATGTTTGAGAAGCATAAATTTGATGTTTTTTTAAATAGATATTTATGCTAATCTCCATTTGCACAACCCAGTGTGATTTAGTGTACTGTTTATCTCCATCCTCTGTTACATTGTGTGTTAAATGGTTCTTGCATTGTTATGGAGTTGGTCATTTAAATATCAAACATTTTTAGCATTTCTTGGAACAATGTTGATCACTAATGCACTTTAAAAAATGTTAGTAAATAATCATGAAATACAGTATAATATTTTAAATAGGCTACCTGATATAACAGCTGGTCAAGATGTCAAATTCATCATTACTGCATTTTGGAAAAAAATATCTAAGACAGAAAATCCATAACTTCTGCAAAAGTCAACAAGATGACTTTATTTCTCAGTGCATGTTGAAGTCTATCTGAACCCCGGACAGACATCTGTGTTGGTGAATACCACATTGTCAACTTTCTTATTTTTGCTTTAAACATTTTTTAAAGCTTTTGTTTTTCATATAATTAGTTTTTTCTTTCTTCAAAAGTCTGGAGTGACAAGTGAACCTCTGGGAGCATTCTTCATTGTCAGTCCCTCCTCTCAGCTTAGCTGTTTACACAGTCGTAGTTTCCCCAAGAGAGGGATTTTTAAGAGGAATTATATCTTTGTTGGCTTTTGTTCAGTGATACCTGTCAGAAAAACAGAGTCAGGGAACTGGGGAAAACCAAATAATTGCTCTGAAAACAAATAGTAATAAAACAGATTGTTTACATGAGTCGAATGATAATGTCAAACTGGGTACCTTCTCAAAAAGTTATGTCTGATAGTTTATTGAATTAACTCTGAAAACAAAAGTCTAACACTTTCTTTAACCCAGTTTCTGCACTGACATGAATGAGGTGTACCACATCCTGTCCAACATGGTCAAAGACACTGGCTCAGAACCCTACTTCCTGTCAATCCTTCAGCACCTTTTGCTCATCAGGAATGACTATTACATCAGGTAAGTCGTGCTGAGATTTTACATGCAACCGGCTACACGTTGACTGATGACCGAGGCTCATTTTGTATGCTTGCTGCCTTACTGAAGTTCATGTTTGTGTTTTTTATGTTGTAGACATAACAGGTCACACATATTTCTGAACTTTAAACTTGCTCCACACCGTCTCTTTACCTGCCGAGTTGAAATCTGTCTTGTGAGTAGAAAGCTTTGAAAAACTGAAAGCAGCATGAAAACTTAAAGGCAAAGTTGAGGGGATTTTATATATTTTAGGTGTAACTTGAAGTAAGAGCTGTGCAGTTTATGAAGATGATCACACGCTCAGTTGATGGGCAGTTGAGAAGTCAACAGAAGGTAAAGATGAGACCAAAGTGTGAAAGTTAGAGCAGACCTCAACTGTTTCATCTATCAGTCTATTCATTTGTTTCAAATCCACACTCCAGACTCTGCAGGGTTATGTATGGACGAGCATATTCCAGCTGCCATACGGTATGCTGTGGACTGGTCTTCACAATAACATTTCAGCATTTTGCAATTAAAGGATTCAACCAAATACCAAACCAGACTTCTGAATTTCTTATTCTGTTTGGGTAGCAATCACGGTGACATAGATGCAGAATGTTTAAATGATAATAATTATGTTTACTGTAGTGTAGAATTATGTTCAAATAATTCAAACATTTTAATTAGGTTATTAAAAGCATTGTATATCCATATCCCCACTCTATTCAATGTTGCTCTACAATGTGTTTGCTGATGCTAAGAACGAACAGGCCCTACACCCATTTTATGCACGCACAATCATTATTTCTTCTGCCTGTGTTTTTGACCGATGCAGCTTTAATCTTTAAATCTTTAAAGTCTGACAAAGGCCAGTGATCTCCTGAACTTAAAATCTCTTTAGCTCTGCTGCTCTTCTTGTTGGGTGCATGTTGCACTGCAGAAAATGGCCCTGGAAACATTGTGTAGCCACATTGATTTTGCCCAGTGTGAATGATTAGAAGGTGGTGCAGTGAGGATATAACGCTGTTGTGTTGAAATAAGCCATTTTAAAATGTAGAGTTTGCTTTCTGCTTTATATTTTAGGAGCAGATAAGTCAGTAGCTCGGAATAAGGTCATGACTCCTGTCACTGATTATTTCCATGCTGTGTCAGACCTTTTGCAGAAATGAGACTCAAAAAAGAAAGTTTTAGGATGAGAGGCGGAAGATGAATTTACCAAAGACGGGTTGCTTTTCCCTTGGAGTTATGAATTATGTATTCTTCATCTATTCAGAGGAAGTGAGAAATAGAATTCACATTAACTATCTAGTTTTCCATGTCCACCTCAGCTCCAGTGTCCACGTACACCCCTGTAAGCCAGCAATAAGAAGGGATCAGTTCCAGTGCTCATGAAAAACTGATGGTCTTTTTAAAGATGTGGCTTTGAATTTCTTCCCCTCCAGCCTTCATAACAAATGCTAGAAGAAACTCGCACACATGCACACACAAACATTAACACCAGAAATGCATTATGACTGAGGCATTTTATTCCCTATACATCACAGCTTTGGAGTTTGGAGTTGGGATGATGGAAGATGCAGCACTGCAGTGTATGCAGCTATTTTCAATAGATACTATCTGTCTTATTCAGTCTGCACCCCTTAAAGTTAGCAGCTTTTCAGTTTGTGGTTAAAATTGATTGAATGTGAAATAGCACTCTTAATATATACCATTTTCACAAAAAGTGCAGGTTCAGAGGTTGTCCAGCAGCAATGTATGCTTGTAAATTTTGAGGATTTGTTATTTGTGACGGTTGACGGTTTGACTCGGCTTTGTGATTAAATCAACTCACCATATTCTATTTGCAGTCAGAGATGATTTGCTTTTGTTACTGTGTTAATTGGAATTGATGGCACACTCGGTACCTTGATTCCTTTGTCAAAAAATACTATGAAACAATAATTCATTGCATACTCTAATTAGTATTATAATCATAATACAGTCTGTAGTGGGTAACTGCTCTGTCTACTGTAATTCCTCCTAACAAAACAGTTGTTTTCCTCCCCTCCAGAGCTTGGTTTATTTTGGATAATTAATCTCTCTTTGCAAGTCTAATGAATGGGAACACATCAAACTCACCCAGTATATATAGAGCAGATCTGCACTTTTGGAGCCTGGTGATATGAGGATTACATTGGTTATGTGGAGCAGAGCTGGATCAAGTGGCTGGGGCTGTGCTGAACTGCAAGCTATCACTGGAAGAAACGAAGGTGCCAAAGTAAAAGAAGAGGTTGAAGCTGATACTGGGGACATATGCTTGCTTTGGGAGCCCAGCCCTGCCCACTGTGGAGGGGCCTGACAGTTCTGGGTCACTCTCTCCATTTCTACTTATCTTTTCCCTGCCTCTATCTGCTTGGTGGCAGCGGAGGATGGAGGACGAAGGGAAAATAGGGTGGTTTATTGAGATAATAATATGGTTTGCATTGGTGACAGTTGTAAGCCGAGTGCCACAGTTCTTAAGCCATGCGGGGTGACGTGTGAGCTCTTACCAGCTTGTGCCAGTCATGAGTGGGCGAATTCACCAGCTCAGGCTTAATGTATAGTATTTCATGCTTTTAAACAGGGAAGCTAGATTCTGATTTATTCACGTTTACTTTGGCAAGAAAGCTTGTGCTATTTCACATTTCAGTTTAAAACATGACATGATCTGTCCGCCCACAAACTATCACAAGAAGATAGACTTTAAATCAAACTGTTAGAGTGGGGATCTTGAATATTAGCTTCACCCCTTTCATGTTTGATAGTAACTCAGGTCTCATTATCAAACATGCTTTATTTCACAGGCATGTCTGGGTTGTATCCAGTAGATTTCTGGTCTTTTCTGACAAAATTAACTCACCTGGCGGAAAGCACTTTGTTCACAGTGGTGCCTGCTATAAATCACTTATCACGTCATAGTACCAGTTATGCTCCTCCACCTCGTAATGCTTTCATGCAGAGCCAACAGACATTCAGGCTTTGATCACCCTCGGTTCATTGTCTGATTCAAAGTTGTAATAAGCCCTCAGGATTTGAGCAACTCTGATTTTCACCTCTTCGTCATAGAAATGATTGGATGGATCTAGGAAAGCTAAAAATAATGAACCTAAGGCCCGTTGATCTTGTTATAAAGTGTATGCCATTGTTTTGGTCTAAAATTACACGCTAGTTCAGGAGTCTGCAAAGATAATGTAATTTCTTAATGTATAGTAAAAAGAGAATTTATTTATGTTAAAGTAACATGACATTTTCCTGCATGCCTACTTCTATATAGTCAAGGTGGGTAAATCGTATGTCTGTGTCCAGCCAAACAATGGATACCTAGACATTCACAAAAATAATTTACATTAAAGCAGTTAATTTCTCACACTCGCACACTTTTGCACATGGCACTATACTTCTTTATTGTTGGAAAGGAAAAAGAAGTTTAACATTTGGCTCTACAGTTTGTAATTTCCGTCACAGGAGACAAGTTGTTTCTCTTTACACCCCAACCACTGGTCAATGTCATGCTCAGAAAAGAATTATTCCTCAGTATGGAGCACAGCTTAAGATGGCATTGTATTTGTTAAATGTCACTTGCAATTAAAGTTGATAATGTTACAGGGAAAAGGTCACATTCCAACCTGTGTGGTGGCAGTGGACTTTAAGGCTGATTCACGCTCCCTGCTTGACAACACCAAGCACTCAGTCACACTCCTAACTGGCTGACATGTTTTCCTGATCATTGTGCTCTCAGTTACACACATTACAATGATTAGATTTGCATTTCGCTCTTTATGGTTGCTCTAATTGGCAAAGATGATTGCAAATTATGAAAGAGGGCAGCTGTAGTCTTGACTACCGTCAGTCACCTTGAAATGGACAGACTGTCACGGACTTTGGGCTCTTTGTAGCTATTAGGCTTCTAATTTCATGATGGGTTGAAAGCAAGTGATCAAATTTAATGGGGTAACTATTTTCTACATCAGCAGCCTTTTTGACATGGCATTTTGTGACCTCTAGTCTGTGTAAGAGAATCATTTGTAATTAATTAGTCTTATAGGGTTTGTGTCACTCATATCTTTCTGTGGGTTTCTAACTGCTATGCTTCCTGACCCCTCAGGCCTCAATATTACAAGATAATTGAAGAATGCGTGTCCCAGGTGGTTCTGCATCGCAGTGGGATGGACCCTGACTTTGGCTACAGTAAAAGATTGGATGTGGACTTCACCCAACTTATTGGTAATTTTTTCCACCTAACTTTTATGTTGTTCTGTAAGATGTCACAATTGGTAGAAATAAAACATTTATGGGGAAAGTTACAGTTTCTGAAAATTTAAGGTCCTGGAATCATCATTATATATTTTTTTTAATTCAAGTGGTCACCACTAGGACTAAAAAAAACATCTCTGATCCTCGAGGGCTTCCTCTGCCCAACAACTCCCGTGTCTCGATGTAACAATAAGATGAATCTGGCTTTATAGGAATAAATTATGCATTTCATTTTTTGAATTATTTGGGCAATAAATCATTTTAAACTTTCAACATTTTTTAGAATTACAAAGAAACATCTCTTTGCACTCCATGACTTATTCGTTTTTTTCATGGAAAATAAAAAAAAGAAACAGTCAGTCATGGCAGCTCTGTGACTTGCCCACAAAAGGGTCATTAAAAGTTTCTAAACTCACCCACAGAGCAGCTGTAGTGTTTTTTTTAATCTTGCTTTACAGAGATTTGATCAGTGTAAAAATATCCATCCATCCATTTGCCTTACAGCTTATTTCTAGTAGGGTCTTGAGGGGGCTGAAATCTATCCCCAACTGTCACTGGGTGAGAGAAGGGGTTCAAATATGTATAAATAAATAAGTAATCTTCTTTTCTAGGATTGGGAAAGTTGTCTTTTTCAAAGCTTTTTTCACCCAACTGTCATAGAGTTTTCATGTTTTACAGCATACAGTCCAAGTTAAGACTATACATTGTTTGTTTTAATAGCCGATTGGAATTTAATCACTTCCTGTTTGGAAGCAGCAGACTTTTGAGTGACTTTGACGGACAGACCGTTTGGAGAAAAGCACAAAAACACTTAAAGGCTTTTATGAGGCTTGCTCACACGAACATCATTGAAAAGTTATTCTCAGCCATATTAGATTTTTTTTCAAATCTAATAAGGCTAGGAGTCAGGTACGGCTCATGAAATGCTTTGAACTCACCGTAAGCCAAAATTTCAAGCACACCATTGTTTTGTGAAGGGAACAAATTCACTTTTATTCAAATGCTGCATGCATTAACACCGTCCCAATTACAAGCCATTTGTCATTCGAGGGTCCCAGAAGTGCTGGATAAATTACAGGCTTGTTCTTAAACAGTATGCCAAATTTGATATATTTTTACCATTCTGACCTATAAGAAAAGGCAAATCATTGGTTTCAATGCACTTTCCTGCTTCTCTCTAAATCTACATTTAAAACCGGCATTCTCACAGTCTTCAGGACAAATGAGATTTAACACTGCACACAAACAAACACATGACAGTCAAATAAACCGAACATTAAGAAGCAAAGATCAGAAAACCTTCTACTTCCATTCTGAAATTCCTCTATTTGATCTGAGACTTTCTTTTGTTAAAGACACTTTTGTTAAAGACAAGACCACGGACAACGATGACTCATTGTCCGTGGTCGTTTCTTCTTGTTCGGGGGCGGTTCTGTAAATAAAGTCAGTTTGAGGAGAAGTTGAACTGGATGGCATCTTTTTCTGTTATTTTTTCCGAAAGCTGTAATTAGCACTTTGTGATGACACTTCCCTCTTTTGTCTGCTATTGAATCCTCTTCATGTTACACAGTAAATTATGGCTATTTTAACGAAGCTTTGCCTTTACCCACACGGGAGTCTTGCAGATGTCTGGAAAAGGGTCCTGTTTCTAAATGGATTAATCAAACTGTATGTATTATGATGAACCTTGAAATGAAATTACGAGTCCACTCTTACTTCTCTGGGAGAAAGTCCTCACTACTGTGATGACCGACATCAGTCATATAAACCATTTTTAAACCAAGTGTTGAGTCATCCCACGTCGTCTCTTTTTTAACAACAAAATCTGTACTCTGTAAACATTGTGTGATGAGTTAATGATGCGGATTGTAGAAAGAGATACCTTTTAAGCATTTCTTGACTCTGTCTTATCTTGCAGATCAGTGTGTGGATAAAGCCAAAGTTGATGAGAGTGAACAAAGGGCTGCAGAGTTCTCCAAAAAGGTGAGACATTAATCACTCCAACTGCTCCCCTTTGGTTTGCCAGCTCCCATCAGCAAAGTTTTTTCTTCCCCAGAGCTCCCAGACAAGCTATTGATTTTCCATGCCCTGATCGATACCTGGCTGTGACGCTACATGATCCGTATCAGTATTACAAGAATCAATGCAGATGCTCTGGTGTATACTTATTTGTACACAGTGCCGAGGAGAGTTAAGTTATGTGCAGACACCTTTGATGGAATTCTGCATTTAGAGATGCCTGATCTTTTCCATTTATTAATTTCACTTCAAGTGAGTGTAACTCTGTTACTCACTTGACTTTTAAAAAGTATTTCCGAGATGAGAGATGGCAATCACACCCAACCTCCGATTTGATCTTTTAACTAGGAAATATAGAGAGCCGGGACAGAAAGGTTTGACTAAAACCTTAATGGCACCAGGGGTTCCGGGAATGTTTTTTTCTTAAGAGTCGTGTCCCACCATCCCACCGTTCTCCCTGCTGGGCCGGTGAAATCATTGTTGCGACATGGCTTGGTTTCTGCAAAGGTTAGATCCATCAACATACATGGAAACCAAGCTTGACACAAAGACAAAGGACAACAGGGCTCAAGGGCCACGCGGGCTATGAATAGAAATTGGCCTCAGAGAGAAAGATGGTGTGTTTGGGTGTCTGTTGATGGGCCCTGTGACTGCTCTCTGGTGACACCCTTCCGCTCACCTACCGGCTTATGTTAGGGAGAGCGCGTGTGTTTGGAATTTGTGTATGCTCATTCATTACCTGCACATAAACCTGTGCGGGCCTCTTGTTCTTGCAGTTTGATGAGGAGTTCAGTGCACGACAGGAGGCTCAGGCTGATGCTCAAAAGAAGGAAGAGAGAATCAAAGAGTTGGAGTCAAAGATCCAGACACTGGAGTCCCAGGTAAACCCACAAAGTGAAATTCCTTTTCTTTTTAAACCAGTTAAACTCTCCAGAGATCTTTATGATGCATGCTTCAATGAAAGGCATGGAGATAATTCAGTTGAAAGGCTCATTTTCAAAAGAACTTTTAATCAGGTTAACAGGTTTTTGTTTTCTTCTCCCCCTTGACTGTCTGAAAAATCATATCACTGATCAGTAATAATGGCTCTGGAAAGGGTTTGATTTGGTCAGAGGGATATCTTTCCATTTACAGATGTGAAGCAGCTGTAAGTGGAAGTTATCATCCATGCATGAACATTTGATTTAATAAAGGGTCAATCTCCTTTCTAAGTTGTAGCTATTTGAATGAGCGAATTGCTCTATTGAAGTTTTTCCTATGAAATTCTATCATCACAAAGATGGATTGCATTTCTTTTCCTGGCTTCTACCTCATTTATTCCCAGGAAAAACCCTCCATTTTGAACAGAAAATGGTTGCCATTTCCCCCTTAACCCAATTTTAAACACTTTAGGACTGCCTTGGGATAAAAGGGCAGTTTTCCTCTCTGCTTATGGAATTTAATGTGAACCAACACTGAAAGGCGGCGTGGTTTAGTCTGAAGCAGGGAAGGGTTTTACTGTCAAACGTTCTTCACTTGTCTCTCATGTTTGCACTTACCATCTGAATAACTGAACCTGCACGTGCGTTTCAGGAAGAGTTTTTGCAGTTGTCACATTGTGTTACTGAAGCCCCACAGCAATCAGTCATATTACCAGTTCAAATGAAAGGCTGTTATCTCGCGAAGGGTTGGGCCATTTCAAAAGCACGTGTCCAATGTGGAGCGGGTTGCGCAAAAAACATGGCACTACGTTTGAATCGTGCCAACTCCATGGCTATTTTTCCTTAGCTTATTTATCCCAGGCGCCTTACCCTCATGCGCATTTTTTATGCTCTCTGAGCTTTTTGTTTGATGTTTCCATATGTTTTAGCAGAACCCCCTTTCCTCTCACTCCCCCCTGGCAGGTCAGTGTCTTTTTGATGGCTTACTGACTGTGACGCAGTAACAGGTAATGTGGAGCAGAGAAACCCAGATGTGTCAAACCACGTTTCTTCTTCAGCTTGTCTGAATGTTCCTTTAGGACTGCTGCTGCTTCCACATGTACAGACATCAATCTCAGCAGGGTAACATGTAATTTGTTTCACCAGCACAAAGATGGCCACAAGCACTTTAAAATGCGTACCAATGAATGACTATTACGATCTTCATTTTGAATGCAAATTGATTAAAGACCAAATATTTCATAGTAAAGGTGTTATTGTGTATATTTATTGAGATTATGTGTTAGATATGCAGGCTCTGTAATATATTTGGCTTTAAGCCGGAGTTGACAGAGATTTTTCTGTTGCCACATCAAACAAAGAACACCACACTGTCATTCTGACAGTTGTGATTCTGCTCCTTATGAAAGCTGTAAGAGTGCACTATGCAACCTACTCCACATTGAACATGTGCTTTAGAGCAGTCATTATCTATGAGAGTGCAGAACTTTCAAATCACTTTCAATCAAGGACACGCATTCAGTTTGTCCATCAAAGCAGCTCTGCGAATATCGCTGCTTTGTTGAATATGAATGAAGTGAGAGCTAACCTTAAACTTCATCTCTTAGACTGAGTTTCTGTCAGACATTAGAATGCGGCCATGTCTGCGCCACTTTTCTACACCGTATTTGTGAACCAACACATTTAATGAGAGATTTTCTCTGGAACTTTGGCATTGTAGCAAGCAGTATCTTTGAAGTACCTGTTTGATTATCTCCCAATTGAGTTGAGTGGAGTTTCTGCCTATAAACATCAACAAAGGACATTGAAATCACAAGGAAGTGGAACTCCTCCACTATTCCCCAAACCTCTGCTCGCAACCAGTCAAGGTAAAAAGGAAAAGCTGTTCACTGAATCGGCTCTGGATGTGATGAATTATGTAGCACTGCAGTGGTACCCTGGAACACTCTGCACCATCCCATTAATAGGTTTTAACAATCTGGCCGTCTTGTAGCTGACCCAGCATGGCCCCCAGGAGAGCTGGAGGTGTTGTAGACCATTCTGTCTGTCTTTTAAGACCGTACTGCTGTCGACTGTGCCTGATTAAAGAATTTGACTCAGTTGACAATGGTAGCAAAACTCATCATAAAGTATCCATTTAAGTGCGTTGCTGTTCAGGGTGTCACACATATATCCTGACATTGGAATTTGGTTTCTCGTGATGGTTAGAAGGACTTATAAAGCAAGGAACATTATACATTTTTCAAAGTCATATTCCCACAGAGAGATAGATGTGCAATTTCTTCTTTATTGAAATGTTGCAATTTTTAAAAATTCTTGCCATTTAAAGCCCCAAAAGAAAGTTTCCATGTGTTTACCCAGTTTGCAGGTTGAATATTTATTTCTCTACACTCCATAACATGAGGCATTGTTTAGGATTGACTGCATGAAAAAAAGAAAAAAAAAAGTTAAATTTTGGTTGCTGTGGAATATGTTTCCATCCTCTTTCTTTTGGCAAGGATGCACGGAGTGAAATATCAAAGCACAGTGGATGCAGTTCTAAAACAAAGACTGCACAGGGAAATCAATGTCCATCACACATCTGAGTGTTGAGTTGAAATGGATCTTAGGATGCCCGAAAGAGAAGAAATGGAACTGGAAGAAGGTTTTTGAAGGTGCACCAGCTCTCTGTGATGCTTTGACGTGTTCCTTTTCATGCAGTCATTGCTCTACACTGATGTTCTTTTGAAGATAGATTACATCTTGTTTTAGGTGTGAAAGTACAGCGCACACTGCCTTTTTGCACATGAAATAGCTCATTCTGACATAATAGGAAGATGACACTGTACTGCCATTGTCATTAACTGTGTAAGGGACCCCTTTTTCCTTTCCTTTTCGTCTGTTCTAGCTTTATTGTGTTCGGTGTGAGTTCTCTACCTGTTGAAATGTACTAGTGTTCTTCTTTTCTCTCTCTCTAACCCATCGCCATTTGTGCCTCTTTTATGTGCTTTGCGTGTGTGGCGACGTGTGTGTTCCTGTGGTGTGTATTTTTGATGTGTATGCGTGTCATATCTGCACAGTTAACTATTGAAAAGAACAACCTCAAAGAGGCTCAAAGACTCATCAGGGAATATGAAGCCAAGGTGGGTGTCCTCTTTGCATGTGTGGCCAATCACATTAATCTCACTTTTAATCTCCTTCAAATCCAAGTATAAAGTAACTTATTTGAATGCAACTCATATCCTCTGCCTGATTAGGAGACTGATTTTTGGTCTTCTGCATGCTTGCCCCACCCCCAAAGCATTTTGTTTTAAAATACATTTTTGGACCCCCTTTAATATATTAAAGCCTGATCCAAGAAAGAAAGAGAAACGTATTTTATTTAGTCTCAAGTCTATATTAAGAACAGGTGATTATTATGGTTAAACAATGTTTCTTTTGGAGATTTGGTTTTGGATTTTATGAACTCAGTGGAACACGTAGCCGTGATGGATTGCGTCAACTCGTGGTTGGATAGGATAGACAGCTCTCAATATGAAATCAACTCTGCACTTATTCAGTAACTAATTTGATTCCATACTCTCATATCAATCGCCAGAGATTGACAGATTTGTAATCAGTATGTCTGGATTTTTAGTGAACGGCTCAGAGTAATCTGTGTGAGGAGTTGTTTGTAGAGCACCTTTTTAATTTGAGCCCTAATAAACAATCTGGCAATTCCATTATGTAATGAAACACTATGTAATGTCTTTAAATATGAAGCCAATTACATTTCACGAACACAATCAAGAGACTGGGGAAAATACAAGTAGTGGGGAATTGGTTTTGGAAATGAGACATGCATGTGAAAATCCTCTATGGTGAGAGCCAGCATCTAATTTGTTGCCGCACTTTGTGTGATTTGGGTATTTGGACACCTCCTTAAGCAGTTTTCTATTGGTCTTACCATCTCTTGTGGATATTCAAATTGTGACAGTGCTTGAGTACTGAAAAACCTTTTATCAGTCTTAGGTTGTTACCCAGGAGTTTGTAAATGTCTTGTAAGCCCAGAGGTTGTTGATTTCACTTGCAAGAAAAAATTATTTCACCATACAGATTGTTTCCATAGCAATTGGATGGGGAAGCCATTGAGGAAAAACCAGATCATTATGATTTCAGACTGTCAGAGGGCTAAATATATCCAGTCTTTCTATCAAATCTGAAAGCAAATTGTATAAAAGCTCATGGGCTATATTACTAAATTAATAGAAAACCTGTATTTACACCAATTAGACGGCTCTTGGTCTATTAAGTATTTACTTTACACTTTGTAGCTTAACTGCACATTACATTAGGAAAAGATTAAATAGATAAACAAATAAATAATAAATTAAGTCAATTAATGATAAATAAAAATATCTATCTATCTATCTATCCTAAAGGCAATTCATGCTAGTGACATAATAGACTAACTAATAAGTAATATTACAATCCAGAAATCAACTTCTTTAACTTATAATGTAACACAGGCTGAACTATTGATATTTATAGGTCAGATTTGAGGATTTTTCAATAAAAGTAAATAGAAAAGTTTTTTGCAAAATGGGCCCACCCTGGTTCTAATTTTCTAACAAAGTCTGGTGACTATGGAGGGAGTTTTGGATTTCCTCTTTTAAATTTAATTTGTGGCACAGTGACGACAATGTGCAGCTCAGCTTATTTCCCTGCATTTTCTCCCATTGTTTTTTCTAAGGGGATCGTTTGCAAGATGGTTCAGTTTAACAATGCTAATGAGGCTTGTTGTTTCGTCCATTCAGTTCACAAACATTTTCTCCTTTTGAAAATGATCTTGTGTTAGTATAACAATAAACCACCTTGTCAGCACTTACTGAAGAGATGTGACATCCTAACTGTGTCCCCACAAGGCCACATTCTGTGTCTGAGGAATCAGCTCATCAACAATTTTAGCAACAACGTTTTGTATGCTTTAGAATAACAGAACAAATAATTATGATTGACTTTTCTATAACTAAATTCTGTACACATGATGGCCTCCCCAGTTGCTTCCTGGCTTTTGGGAAATCAGACACCAGGCAATGTCCAGCCAAAGGAGTTTTCAGTCATCATGTGATCCACCTGTGACATTTCTGTCCTGTGTTTGCAGATTGCTGCAGGTCCAACAGCTACAGGAGTACCACCCCCACCACCACTACCAGGAGGAGCAGCCCCTCCACCTCCCCCTCCACCACCTCCTCCGCCACCTGGCGGATGTCCTCCACCACCGCCACCACCTCCCCCTCCTCCTGGCCAAGCTGGGATTCCACCCCCACCTCCACCCCCAGGTGGAGGACCTCCCCCACCTCCACCACCCCCAGGTTGTGGGCCCCCTCCGTTTGGAGGTCCTCCACCTCCTCCTTCTTTGCCCGTTGTTAAACTGCCTTACGGACTCGAGGCCAAGAGGACCTACAAGCCCGAAACTGTAATGAAGAGAATCAACTGGACAAAGGTACCATCCGCATTCATTAAATTCCGTCTAAACGATCTGGACTGTAGGAGAAATATTATGCGATGAAATATCCAGTGGATTTTGCGCTATTGTTTACACAGTAAAATGCTAAATTGAAGATTCAAACCAGAAGAAGCTCTAATCTAATGCATTCCTAATCTAGTCATACGACCGCTCAGCCACGGGCCACGCGATTTCTCACCCACCATTTCCCATTTCAAAGGATTAAAAAGTAAACAATTTTCACTGCTCCAATGTACTTGGGTTTGCACAATTTTAGCATAATTCAAGGAAGAATGGGTTTTGTTACTTTTCGTTGCATCTGAATACAATTTTAACGGTGCATTCTCGTGTCTAGGCTTTATTTTACCATAGATAATTTATCTGTTGCCCATGGGCATTTCTGTAATGACTTTTCTCAGATACATGTGTGACCTTGCACTTCAGTGTCTCACTATAAACAAAATGTCAGACTGGTACTTTTGGCTAGATGCTTTAAGATAAATCAAAACATGTTTGTTTGTTTTTTTTGTTTTTTTGGATGAGGCCCTTTGTGAAATTTCACTCACTTTGCTTCTTTAAGAAAATGTGATTAGCTTATCAGCTAATTACAGTTCTTTTGCTCAGAGAGTGGTTAGCTGGCTGCAAAGAAGTCAGGATTAAAAGTGTGGCATTGCGCTTTAGATTTAAGGTTTAAAAACATTCACAAGTTGTTAAATCAGAATGAATGCTACAATCAGATTTTAAATAATACTTGACTTATATAGGCCTCAATTCAGTCAAAAAAGTGCCACCAACACACCACGAAGTTGAGCAATAAGGCACAGTAGAAAGGACGACACTGAGACCGTTGAACAGCTGGAGTTGCTGGCTATAGCCTGCTTCGTGACAAACCACTGCTGAGGGAACAGTATCTGGCAATGACAAATGAGAAGATGACAACTCCTCAGACTCTTCTATAGTCTTAGATGTTAAACTACTTCTTTCTTATCTGTATTGCAAAAAGTACTGCATTAAGAAAGGAAAGTGAAGCATCCTATCACTCATGTCCTGGCAATACTGGACGTCCAGACTTAATGTCATCCTGCTTGTTTGGGGTGTAGCTATTATCCATGCAGTTATCAGCATGTGATTAAAAATGATTTACACCCAGAAATATGACTGTTGTGCAACCACAAACACCAATATGCAGTTTGTAGTCCCTGAAATTCACCATCTCTTTGCTGCATAAGTAATCGGATCTCCGACTATACATATGCTGCACACACAGGACCTTATTACTCTTTAGTTACTGTCTTCCAGTCAAACAAGGACTACAGTGGCAGTGGATTAAAAGTTAAAGGTAGTAGTAAAAGACGCCCTCATGGGACCAGTACAATCCACACTAATGGAAATGTTTAATTGAATTATAATTTCCTACATGCACCCTCCCATTACTGTGTCTTTAATTCCCACAAAAAACTAAGTAAGATTAAGTAGGGCACTGTACAAGTGACAACAGGTACACAGACATTAATTTGCAGTTGTCCCATTGCCTATTATAAGATTACATTTTAGCAGAATATTAAAGAGCTTATTAACGATATTTATACGCACATGAGATAGACACAATAACATGACAAAGGCTCACATTTAGACTGGACATGGGCTCATTACTCTCCTAAAACATGTGGAGGCCATAATCATTCTGCCCAGACTTAGCAAGAATATTTCACATTTATTTTACTGGCTGAATGTTTAGAATGTTTAATAACAAAATATTTAGAGATCCGTCGCTTTAAACCAGCATCAAATGGAAAATATTGGGCAATTAACACTCAGAATCCATATGAAATACTATGCACATTTTCCCCAAAATCTATAATCTATTGATTGCTCGAAGTAGTTTTGTGAGAAAGTATTGTTGACTTGCTCTAAGTGAAGGGCTACAACAGCATGCTTTGATAGCTGGTAGTATTTATGCAAAAGTTTTTTTAAAAAGGGAAAGAAAAAGGCAGTGTTTTCTGGGCTTTGCTATCACATTTACTGCCTCACAGTCAGTTCTACAGAATTAGACAGAATTTTTCATCAGAGCAGATCAATATTAGATCATTTCTGCATGCACAGTGATTACATGTGTCTGTACATATCTGTATGTAGCAGAGCTTTGAAAGCATCATCACTTTTAACCATTTTTCTGAGCAACATCTTTATGAGAAAAAGTGGTCTGCACTTATTTAGTGTCTTTTAACCTAGTTTATGTTCTAAACAAGTGTTTTCTCATTCAAGCTTCCCTATTGTACTGTGTATTTGTACCTCATCTATACGGAACCCTTTTCTCTTAACAAATACATTGGAATGAGTATCAGCTACAGTTGCTTTAATGGTGACAGTATAATGTTTCAGGTTGAACATTATTGAATTTTTTCTCTCTATTTTCCCTTTTCACAATTTTTTCTGAAAACAAAAGCATGACAAAGTACACTCTATGACTCAGAGTGGATTGAATGAGAGCGAAATCGACTGCAGACTCACTTTGTTATCTATACTCTGTAGAAAACAAGCTTGCGTTGGAAGTTCATAAAACTCCATAAGAGCAGCTAAAGACTCCGTAGCAGTGTTACACTTATTACAATTACTATATAGCCTTGTGAATAATTGCCCAGTGTCAGCTTGAGCTGTCTGGATTGCGTGCATGTCCTGCTGACATCACTTTATTTACAGGATAACTGCAAGGTTTTGACGAGGTTAATGCAGAGCCGCTGTAAAGGTTCTCACCATTGCACTTAACAGAATTTTAGACACACAAGCAATGTCACACACATTATCAGGTTCTAATGACCAGAACGTGACTGATACATTTAGTTATGTTTCCTTGGTTGACTGCCGGCACACAGGCTATGAAAGGGACACAAAGTAATCCTGTGCCTGGTTATTGTCTCAGTGCACAGGTGCTTTTTTGCTTCTAATAGACCTCATCTTGTTTAAGTCTGCTGGAAAAGACCACGTGCAGCCCACATTTCAACATTAGCTTTTTGTATTGTTTTGTCTCATTTGTGTTCGTCTTGTTAGTCACTTAAATTCACAAGGTCATGTGTGCATCCACACATAGGAAAACACTTAGAAGCCCCATCTTTTAGCCGGAAGAACCTTTGAGTGGCGGGTTGATGGACTGACGGTTTCTGATTGTGGTGATAATGGAATCCTTGTGTCATTGCAGATAGTGCCTCAGGAAATGGCAGAGAATTGCTTCTGGATCAAAGTCAAAGAAGAAAAGTTTGAGAATCCTGACCTATTTGCTCAACTCTCCCTCTGCTTCTCCTCACAGAGTAAAGGTAAGGTGTCGTCTTTTTCCACCTCATTCCTAATTAATCTTCACACACATGCTTCATTTAGCCTCTCAGGCAGTAGTTGCTAAGACACTTTCATCTTGTGACAACAATTTTTTCTCACTGAAATGTTAATTACCCTAAAACTAGGCATTTCATCCAACCCTATTGAACACCAAGCTCTTAATTCAAATCTCTCTACCAATTAGAGACTCTGGTTCTCTTGCTGTTGTTTGTGCTTTTGAGAAAGCTAGAAATGCCACTTCCGTGCATATAACATTCACTCCTTATCTCCACTGACTAGCTCTTACATATGTGTAATAGCAGACACTTGAACCTCTGCGTGTGTGTGTGAACCCAGGGTGTTTGTGCTTGGTTTGCTTCCTGCCTTTTCCAGTCCAGTGGATCAGTCTTCCATCAGTGCAGAATCGAGGCTTTAGTGATGGAAGCTCTGGGAGTATATTTGTCGCAGCCATTTTGTTTTACAGATAGACAACCAGGCAACCTAACATGTTGATGAATAACACAAACATTGAAAAGTTTTTTTTTTTTCCTTTTCATTTTTTTGTCTTGGTAGAAGAGGGTGTATGAAGGCACTTGATGTATCCCCCCATGACAATTTGATTGTTTTCCATTTCTTTGGCAGTGGTGTGTGTGTGGAACACTCCCCTCTAATTCTAGCAGCATTGAGAGGGGAGAAGTCAGAGCCCTGTCAAGTGCAGAACAGTCAAATCGGAGCTTTGACAGCGTGTGCGGACATAACTATACAGAATTTCTTTTCCCATATACCCACCCTCTGTTTGGACACCAGTCGACCTGCCAGCTTTTTCTTGCTCTGTCTGTTTTAAAGCCTCCAGGTTTACAAACCACACTCAGCTCTTTTTTATGCTGTGAAATAAATATACAGTGGTCCCAAGCAGCCGGAAGGCAATTTATTGAGATATTACAGATAAAATAAGGATGTTGGTCAGAAAGAACAGCTGTTCTGAAGCTTAATGAAGTGGCAGGGACAGGCCTGACTTTCGGGTCACATTCCTATCTACTCTTTTGCATATGTATGTGTGTGTGTGAGTGTGTGTTGGTGTGTGTATATATATATATGTATATATAGAGAGAGACAAAATATATATACTTAACATTTGGAAAATATTTCAAGACTTTTTGAACATATTTTTAATTAGCATTTTTATAATTTCATGAATAAATCGACAGCAGATATTTACATTTTATGTAAAAAAAACAAGTTTTTTCGAAGCACAGCTGTTATATCGCATTCAGGCAGGTCCCTCAGATAAAATCCAACTTAGCATTTGTAGTTCTGCAAACACATTGCTGTGGTTCAGCTTCAGATGCCCTTTTAAATTCTGTATTAAATTCACTTTCTCTCCCGCTGGGGTTTTAAAAAGAAAAGCTCTATAGATAGTCCATGTTCCCTCTGGCATGGTAGGAATTCATGATCCAGTATTTCCCCCTGGAGTTACCATTGCTGGATCCCTATCAATTACCCCTGCAGTGGCTTCACTGAATCAGCTTTTTTCCCTCTATTGTTGAAACAGAACATGATTTCCTCATGAATGAAAAATGCTGTTTAATGTTTGATATCCACCCCCCATTCCAAGTCAGTGCAGCTGAAACTCAATGAGAGGGGCTTTGATGTAGATGGTGTTGCAGAATAGGTGCTAGAATGGATATTCCTTTAATGAGATAGTTGTTAATTTATTTTCCTCTTTTGTGTGTTTCATGATTCATGCAGCATAATCAAATATTTTCCATGCACGGGCACAGTGGTTAAAGTTAAACATTCAACTTTTCAGCAAAAAGACCCCAGCCTCACATCAGCTCTGAGTCTGGAGTGTACTTATTTAAAGTCCAGCCGTTTCCCTGCAAATGATGCCATTTAACATGACTTTGTGTGTCCAGCTGTTGAGGCAAAGCTTCCACATTTAATTCAGGATGTCTGGTGTTCTTAGTGTGTGCTTAATCCGTTTGATAAACATGTCTCCCGTGAAAACCATTTTTGTTTATCTGCAGTAATTGTGATAAGTAATTATTATATTTCAGAAAACATTCATACAAACATGTTGTTGGTTTTTCCCTATGCTTTTGTCTTGGTTTCTTCCATCTTTGCTACAAGATATGGATATTTATAAGTAAAGCACACTTTTGGGGCTTGGTGTATTGTGAAGGATGAGGCAAGCAGGTGTAAATGTCCTCCCTGCAGAGCTGCCCTCAGAAAATGGTGCAAAAAAAGGCTTCTCTTATCTCCACCTTACTTGAGATTCCTGCTTGTTACTTGCATTGTTGAGGAACAACACTTTGGCAGTAAAAGAAAAAAATCACTTTAACAGCCTCCAATTTTCAGCTGCTTATTGCGCTTAGAGGCCTCTAAAACAACTGAGAATGCAAGACTGTCATCTCCCCTGCTGCTTTTATGGGTCTTGCTGTTTAATGAGTTTTACCAAGAAAAGAAGTGATAATCAAGAAGGATTTTGGGCTCGGCTTTAGTCTTCTAAGAATGTTTATTTTTATTATTTTTTTATTACTTATTATGGATGAACTGATTGAATACTTAGCATATGTCCTTTTTCTGAATTATGGGATGGATCAGAGTCAATGTTTTATTTACAGTATGTTGAAACTTGGATTGTTTTTCTGAATATGTCCACACTGCATGTGTTTGGAAGTATCTGTCATACTGAGTGTAATTAGATTTCCCTCTTATCTTGGCTCATGTGGGCATTTTCCAGAGTTTTAGTATATATGTATAAAAAAAGACTAATGTATTATTATTATTATTATTATTATTATTATTATCTTTTTTATCTTAACAATCGAGGCTCCGGTGATATTTAGACAACATTGCATGAAGCAGTGAATTTAGAATGAACAAAAGACATGTAGTCCTTTCTCTAACATCATATTTTTTAGTGATGATGAAATGTATTAATTTTATTATTTCAATTTTAATTTGTTGAACTTTATTTACCCCAAAAGGGGTGATAACTTACAGAGTAAGCGGGGGAGGGCTGAGGAAGCCTCTGACTGAAGAAGACATGTTTTGTAATACTTGAAATCTTGTTTGTGGTTTAACTATTGGAAGAATGAAGTGGTTTTCAGTGAACAGAAAATGTGTTGCACATCAAGGTACACCTCAGTCACTGATGTCAAGGCAAGCATAACGATGGAGCCACTGTGTACTTTGTGATCATAAAATTGTTACCACCCACACTGAGATGAAAAATCTGTTATCACAGAGAGACATCTCTAGTTTCTTCCTTTCACTACCCCCGTTTTTTTCGGCGTCTTTACAATTTGTGTACCAGGCATTAAATGGGCCATGTGGAACAACTTGGCCCCACTACAAGCTATTTTATTTTTCATTTAGATAGTCTTTACTCTTTTATTTAGCATCCTTGCTCTCATCTGTTACCCCTTTTTTTCTGCATTGGCTTTCACCTCTTTCTTAACTCTTCTCTATTGACTTAGGCCCCCCTTTTTTTCTTTTTCTCTCATCTCCCCACAGTTCGCTTTATCAATCAGTGGGCTGTGCCTTTGTATGGCTCTTGGGATCAAATCAGATTCACTCTGGGATTGAATGTGTGTAGCTATGGCCTCCTGCATTTGAAAGCCAATTCATTCAGCTGGAACTTTGCAGTTCAATTTGAAAGAAGATTGATGTTGGCAAACTTCACACCCCTTCTCTTCCAAAATGTTTCCTCCATTGCCCACATCAATTGCTGACAGACAAAGGGCATATGCCATTTTGTGATGGTGATGTCTGTTCTTCTGAGCAGAAAAAACAATGAAAAAAAAACACCTTACCATGCCACGTTGCGATAACTCTTTAATCTGTAAAAAGTTTAACCCTTTTTCAAAATAATTTATAAATCTCCATATGCATTCGGATGTAGTTATGACTGTATTACCCATTTTTAGCTTTAATGAAGGGTGTTCAAGCATTGTTCAGGAGTTTTCATCTATCATATGAGATTTGATGTGTATCTCAATACATGGTGTAAGATGTTAGGAACGATTAATTTTATAAGAAGCACATTCTGGTTTGAAAAAGATTTGATGGACCCATATCCAGATCTTAACATGTATGTGTTACTGACAAGAGGTTATTTTTTGTAGTTCTTGCTAATATTCAAATGACTAACTTTTGATAAAGACCGTGGAGTCAAAGTATTTTTCATACTTCCGTGCACAGAAAGAATGTAAACTGCATTCTACACTGAAGACTTTGCTCATTAGACTAGAGGGCCACTAAAGCAGATTCATTTTAGAACGAAAGCAATGCCTAATTTACAGTTTTCCCACTTTTGTCTGACAAAGGGGTGACTTTGCTACTGTGCATCATTTTCACCAGCGGTTTAAACCAGCGGCTGGAAGTGGGGCTATGGTGACCCAACTGACCATCAAAAACTTTGTATAGTTTAGTAATGTAACATCAGTGATCAAAATAGTGTTTTTAGAAACCTCTGCAGAATTTAGATATATTTGTTTCAATGTTTCTTTTTCTATTTAATCAGAAATATATAAATCAAGCAAATATCACGCTGAAATATTGCTAATTTTTTTTTTACTTACTGCTTCAGCCACTCTGTTTTATCTCTTTGTATTTTATATTTCCTGCATCCTTAACTGGAGTTGCTCAAAAGGTCAGTACTGGAATTGCAGCTTGGTTTTAGCTGCACTGTAAGTGCTGGTCAGAAAGACTCTTGATTCCTCATCTCAGGGGATTTGATCAAATCCCTCAATAGTTTTCTTCACTCTGACACCTGTTTTCATTTACCACACTTCCCACATCTCAGCCCCACACTCTCCCCACCGAGCCAACTTGCTAAGGACACCAGCAGATTCTCAATCCCTGCTACAAAGCCTCAGCAGCATGTCGGTAATGACACGGCCACAACAACAGTAATGATGGCATCAGTGGGGGGCTTACTGGCTCTCTGACTCTCACTAATAAGTCCCCTAATAACTCTGTTAGCATCAGGGCTGACCCTGTACACA